ATGTTCGCAATACCATGAAAAAGCGATAATCGAATAAGAGTCATTTATCTACTACTAGTCTACGCTCGCAATAGGGGTGATTATGTAATATACGTGACCATCAAGGCAAAACCCCATATTTGGCCATGGGGAAAATATACCATAATTTGTAATTGTGGTTATTGCGTCTTGATATTTGACCGATTTGAAATTAACAAATTTTTATTCCAAGTTCCTTTTCCTTTTCCAATTCCTTTTGTTTTATATTGCGGGGTTTTCCCTTCCTCCCAAAAAAGGCGATTTTTTTGCACAGTACACTGCGATACGTAGGCGTTATGGCTCTACTCAACTCACAAGTCCCAACAAATATTGCGCGTGCAACGACTGTTTTATCCAGCACCGATTCTTTTGGAGAAATTTATGGTTGGCAATGCTAATTATGCCGCTTTTTTAACGAAAAAATGCAGCCAACTTCACTTAAAAAACTTTGCAGCTTGTGTCTGATCGCTTCGTGTACTGCCGGTGAATTTATTTTTTGCAACCATTTGTCTGCAAATATTTCCATGTTTGCAGCCATTTTAATATAAATTTAAACTACTAGCAACGTCTCGAATAAACAAATTTCGTGATTTGCCTACTAAAAGTGTTATAGACTTTTTTATACCTCCGTGTGAGTGCTCTGTCTGCGTCGCTGCCTTTGTTGCTTTCGCCGCTGTTGCTTTGTTGTTTTGGCGCCTTTGAGCAAACGCCAGCGGTGTGAATATTATTCCTGAAAAAATGGTTGATAGAAGTGACAATGGTAAGATCTACATAGCTTCTTTTTTCCATATTACAGACGCTGGTTTATACTCGTCTTTTGATAGTAAATCGCAAACTAAACGTTTCTAAATTGTATTATTTGCAGCTGAGTCTTTTGATGATGCTGTCGAGGAGCGTGTCATTAATGAGGAGTATAAAATTTGGAAGAAAAATACGCCCTTTTTGTATGACCTGGTAATGACACACGCCTTGGAATGGCCGTCGCTAACCGCACAGTGGCTACCGGACGTTACTAAGCAAGAGGGTAAAGACTATTCAGTACATCGTCTGATCTTGGGCACTCATACTTCGGATGAACAAAATCATTTGCTAATTGCGAGCGTTCAGTTACCCAGTGAGGACGCACAGTTTGATGGTTCACACTATGACAACGAGAAAGGCGAGTTTGGAGGATTTGGTTCGGTTTGTGGGAAGATTGAAATCGAAATTAAGATCAATCACGAAGGCGAAGTTAATCGGGCACGTTATATGCCGCAAAACGCATGCGTCATTGCAACTAAAACACCATCAAGTGATGTACTTGTGTTTGATTACACGAAACATCCTAGTAAGCCAGAACCATCGGGAGAATGTCATCCGGATTTACGTTTACGAGGACATCAGAAAGAAGGTTACGGTCTCTCGTGGAATCCGAATCTAAATGGTGAGTTGTGAAGAAATTGAATAATAAACCACAAATAAATGTCAATTATTATTTAAAGGTTATCTTCTATCCGCATCTGATGACCATACTATCTGCCTTTGGGATATAAATGCTACTCCAAAGGAGCACAGAGTAATTGATGCAAAAAACATATTTACCGGTCACACCGCTGTAGTGGAAGATGTTGCTTGGCATTTGCTGCATGAATCCCTTTTTGGCTCTGTAGCCGATGATCAAAAACTAATGATTTGGGACACGCGTAATAATAATACGTCGAAGCCTTCACATACGGTGGATGCGCACACAGCTGAAGTAAATTGTTTAAGTTTTAACCCATACTCCGAGTTCATTTTGGCAACCGGTTCTGCTGATAAGACAGTAGCTTTATGGGATTTACGTAATCTGAAATTAAAGTTGCATTCCTTTGAGTCGCATAAGGATGAAATCTTCCAAGTGCAATGGTCACCTCATAATGAAACAATTTTGGCATCGTCTGGAACGGATCGCCGCCTGCACGTATGGGATTTATCAAAAATAGGCGAAGAGCAGAGCGCAGAAGACGCCGAAGATGGACCCCCAGAGCTATTATTTATACATGGTGGACATACAGCGAAGATTTCAGATTTTTCCTGGAATCCTAATGAACCTTGGATAATTTGTTCAGTATCAGAGGACAATATTATGCAAGTCTGGCAGATGGCCGAAAATGTTTATAATGACGAAGAGCCTGAAATACCAGCATCTGAACTAGAAAGCGCCAACGCCTAATTGGTTTTGTTGCCACAGTTTGTTTTAGTTATATATAAATATCTTTTTTTTTTTAATTCTACTACATGTCAATCTCACATTGTGTGGGTACAGAGGTACAGAGGATTCAGTTTGCTTTTGTGGTTTTTTCGATGTTTGTAAAAAAGGTATGCGTAGAAATAATTTAATTGTTTTGTATTATCACGCTAACGTTCTGTGTCTGTTCAGCGATATCTGAAAGAAACTACATATATATATATGAGCAAAAGCTGTCCAAATAAAGTATCATAAACAGGTAAATTTTATTCATTACTTGAAAATTCTCCGACGAAATTGGAAACAAAAAAGCCTGCCCGTGCACGTTTTTGTGCGTGTGTTGGAATTAAAGTGTTCAAAAACGGTTTGCAAAATTCCTCCCATATTTTATAGGGTAACTGATAACTGTTTTTCTTTTTGCCAGTTCCTTTAGCGTGCATTGCTTTTTTATGAGTCGTAAAAGCGGGTTTATTGGTAAAGATGAAGGGTTGATAGCGTACCCATTGCGCAAAATTATCGTATGTTACAAAAACCAAGTTTTACAGGAAAGTATTTTTTGTACTTTTCCCTCATTTGGCTAGCACCATCAATACCAAAGTTTAGATTTGCTGAGTTAATACGCAAGATTTGTTTTGTAAAAAGGTCTACATTCTAATTTCTTAGCACATATGATAGTTTCACCCACAAGAAAAAACTCATTGTCAATACGATAAAATTTACAGTAAATTTTTGGGATAGCAATTGGGATTTATAATATTTGAATAGGTGATGCGTTATGGGTTGCAAAACAAAGTTGCATCAAAAAGTGATTTAAAAAATGTACATACGGTGCTTTTGCGCAAAAGGATCGATATCTAAGTCCTCTATGTATGCTGTAAATTTACACATTTTGTTTAGCCCTAAACCACTATTTTCATATGCAGTGATCTGTTACAGTAAAATCATGATAAAAAAATTTGAATTTTTTAAATTTTCTGATATTCATGAAAGGTATGAAGCAGTGCTCTTACTAGTTTGTTCTTATGTAGTAACGATGATTTCTTATATCCGTGGGACGAAAATTATGGCTGACTTCCAAGACGTCAATTGCATTGCAACTGCAATCGGTTGACAATAGGCCGTATGCATAAAAACTAAGCAATTGCTTTTGCTTAAAATTTCATACCGTTCACTTAAATTTATTCGAACAAACTGACTAAAAGGTTCAATGACTAAGGGCCGGTTTCTCTATCTCCGGTTAACACTAATCCCCCGGTAAACATCGTTACCGACCTTATCGACTCCCTGTTATATGCATGGAGTCGTAGACGTCGATAACGATGTTTAACCGCAGATTAGTGTTAACCAGACATTGAGTAACCGGCCCTAAGTCATTGAAATATCGGAGTTTTCGTATTTCTGATATTTACCGTTATATGGGAAGGGGCGGGCTTGTTCGAGTTGCAATCACAACCGCAGTGTTGCGCGCTTAATTTTAGTCCAGCTTGGAAATTTTTAAACAGATTCAGGCAGGTTCTGCAATTCACCTCCGAGCGAATTTAAACGCCCATCAATTTGAATTCAAAACGACTTTTGTGAGTGTAGTGGCTTCGGTAGTTACTGATGTATCTAGTTTTCGTATATCTACCTGTAAACTAAGTTTATATGGGAGGTAGGCGCGGTAAATGTCCAGTTTCAAAAATTGTCAACAGCTTTTTTAGTGAGACTAAAAAATTGGCGACCGCTGTGGTGTAGTGATAAGCAGTGTGCACTTCTACTCTCAAGCCCTGGTCAACGCAAAAAATAAAAAATATGTTTTTTCTTAAATTAAATTAAATTAACAACGGTCGCCTCTCTGCAGGCAATGGCGAACCTCCGAGTGTATTTCTGCCATGAAAAACAGCTTCTCATAAAAATACAATCGCCGTTCGGAGTCACCGTACAACTGTAGATCCCTCCCCTTTGCTTGACAACATCAATGCGAACACCACAAATCGGAGCAGAAGCTCGACCAAACACTTGCATATGTATAAGCACCAATCTATTATTATTATTATTAACCAATGTTAGGGCCGAGGTTGTGAACTGGCTACTGAGATACAGGATTTCATCCAAGCCGAATTTATATCATCAAGCACACCAAAGACTTTATCGGCCGCCGATTTAGTTAGACTTCGTAGTCTCTCCATTGCATTTTCGGATGCGATTAAGGTGGTATAGTGTGCGTACCTCTTACATCTTCATGTATTTCAAGCAAGCCCCATCGGCATCCGATATAGTCAGCAGTGTACGAGGGCTCTTAGGCTGATACAAACAACCGTTATAATACCTACACAAGTGCTCTCAGGTATGAAAATTGTTAGAATCTTAGATTTAATAATTTCTTAAAATATTTACTAATCTAAGCAATAATGAAACTCATTTCTAATGATCTACAATGTACACATTTATTTTTGAACGCTATTTTAAAGGGAGTGTCTACTTACACGTGCCACGGTAAAAAATACGCCGAAAGAAGTTCTGTTCCACTTCTCCGGCAACACAGAAAGGAGAATTGTGAGTAGTAAAGGTTATAACCCCTAAGCGCGGCCGGAGGCCGCCTACCCAGAAAGAAGTGCTGTGCTACTTCTCCGGCAATACAGAAATGAGCATTTTTAGTAAGGGTTATCATCTCTAAGCGCGGCCGTAGGCAGCGTACGCAGAAAAATTCTGCCCTACTTCTCCGGCAACACATAATCCACGTAATTTTACCGTAGATCTACGGTGATTTTTACCGTGGATCTACGGGTTAAAAATCACTGTAGATCTACGGTAAAAGTTACTGAGGCGCGTGTGTAGACACTGCCTATTTTAAATTACCAAAAGCAATTTTTCATATCTTAAAGTGGCCAATCTAATAGATTAATCCAAGTAATAGGAATATTTTTTTCCGAATGCCTCTATAGTGATATCAAGAGATCGCGCACTATTTCTACTGCGACGGCATATGAGGTTTCCTATTATAATATCTCCAGCTTTCACTTTCTGTGGATGCTCCAAAAAGAATACCACTTGCTTCCAATGAGTTGGCTTGTTATTAGGCGAAGTGCTAAACATCACTGGTACAGGAAGGTCAAAATATGTGTCGAAATAACCCACAAATGCCGATAATTCTCCGTTCTTTGTACAATTAAGATTAAGTTGGTAAGAGAAATTGGAATAATTTAAATCAACTTTCCGCAGGTTTAAATCCGCTATTAGATTTGACTCAGTAAGTATGTGCTGCGCATCAACCACGTCTATAAGAGGTTCATGCAATACTTCTTTTTTCATATTTGACATATTCAGGTCATATACATTATCCCAAAATGTCACTTGCTGCTTGTAGAGGGTCTCATTGCCATAACCAACTATGCTCATTGTGCAGCGATTTGGAAGTAACACTCCGTCCTCTCGTAAATGTGTATCCCGGGCATAAATTATACTGTCCAACATGCCCTCGAACAGTAGGAAATAGCCCATCCACTCTGAAATTATGATGTCGAATTTTTCTTGTGGTAGCGTAGTATCCTCCAAACGTCCTTTTACCAGTGTGACATTGTTGATGTCATTTTGCCTAGTCATTAAAAATTAAATTTGTTTATCTGCGATGTCGAAAAGTTTACGTGGAAGGGACCTTACTTCAAAATATCCATGGCATTGTAAATTATATCGGAGTTATCTATACCGATTACATTTTTCGCGCCGGCCTGCGATGCGAAAATTGAAAGAACTGAGGTGCCACAACCCACATCAAGTACATCTTTGCCGCTCACGAATGGTTTGTTCAAAAACAACGCATCGCGGTAACTTGTGGTGCGTACGACATCCTTATTACGGTGAAAAAAACTCAGTTATTATTCATTTCATAGGAGGAATTATCACTTACCGACAACATTTCGTGATGTATGGCGAAGTGTGCATAACTACTAAAATATCCACTGTCAGCTTCAGCAGAAAGGGCTGCGACGGAATTGAGAGCCTTTACTTTTCCATTTTTAATGCTAATTGATGACAATTTTTCCTTCTCCAACAGTCGTTGAAAGCCTTTGCGCATTTTTGTCATATCTTCACTTGCTTGCTCTAGTAACTGTTCTAACTCTCTGACCTTTTCTTTTAAAACATTCAAAGATTGTGTTGCACTTGTATCATTTATGTTAACTGCTTCCGAGTCTGCCTCAGCCAAAAGTGGCATTTCATCGTAATCTTTGCATGTCAAGCATATCAAGTAAATATTTGTTTACTTAATTGTAAATGCAATGAATGTAATTACGTACCATAGCTTAACCATGCTTCGTATTCTTTTGGTTTTAAATATTTTTCGTCGTTCCAAAATGGTTCCTTTGCTGCTAAAATTCTTTCTGCAGTCACATTCTCCCAACGTATGCAATTTATCAATTTAAGAAATGAATACTGGTCCATGTGAAATTTGAATTTCAGTCGATGGAAGTCAATACTATGCAAACTACTCAAGTGTTCAATACCTATTTCCACTGAAGATAACTGCTGTTTACAGAACAAACATTGCACAGCTTCTGTCTCCATTTCCTCGTCAACATCACTGAAATCGTCGTCATCATCGCTATTCGCAGAATTACTGGCCTGTTCATTAATGAGTTCAGGAATATCTAAAGTGAGCAAATGTTAATAATTTCTGGTTTATTAAAAGATAAAATAAAAGCTACCTTCGTGCTCCATTGTGGAAATCAAAAGTCAAAAAAACGCACGTGCGGCACCCAACGCGAATTTAAGCTGAAATTAGTCAAGAACGTAAACTACCGGTACGTAAACCCGAGTCAGCTGACACGATCTGTCTTACCAAAGCGCCATGTAAATGAAAACTAAACACCGCAGAATTTTTCTGTAGTTGTAGCCCGTAGCGCAGAAATCTGCGGAATTTAGATTTTTCCGTGTCAGCTGATTTCTCCTTTTTTAGACGGTTGCCACTTCGTCAGTTTTACAGATGGTAAAAAAGATATAAGTTCCTACTCAAAATATGTTTAAAATATTTGAAATTTACTATTGAATAAGGTTTTTGTTGAAAACTAAGTAGTTTATATTTAGCTAAAATCTATTATAGCACGAAAAATTGTAGTTGAAAGGGTAAGTTTATGAAAAGGCATTGATGAGTGGCAACAGTGTAGTAAGCAACACTGAGGGCTCCAGTAATCAACAAAATTCTGCGTATACAGACTGCGTTTAAGTACACGTTCTGCGTTCTCGACTAATTTCAGCTTTACAGTTGCGCTCAGTTGTGTTCAAGGCGAATTTATACAAGGTGGTGTTGTAAAATCAGCTGATTTCTTCGCCTTACATGTATTTTGTTTGTGCTTTTACTGATTTGACAGCACACCCATCAAAAGCAAAAACAAAATTTATGTAAACTTTGGAGCGAATTGAGATTTGACATAACACCCTCCATACAAAATACATGTGGTTTTCGTTGCTGTAATCTAAATTCGCCAGTAACACCACCTTGTATAAATTCGCCTTGGTCAAAACGGAGACAAATTCCTNGAGCGAATTGAGATTTGACATAACACCCTCCATACAAAATACATGTGGTTTTCGTTGCTGTAATCTAAATTCGCCAGTAACACCACCTTGTATAAATTCGCCTTGGTCAAAACGGAGACAAATTCCTGTTAGGGACGTTCCGATACCATCAAAGTATCGATACCTACTCAAATGAGTTTACTCAAAGCGCTATTTCGATACTAATTGTATGAGGGAAGCGAATGTATCGATACCTACTTATATCGATAACTTTTCATCATTTTATATGCAACAAAGCGAAAGTAATTTTCAGGCGTTATCTGTGACATACCTTTTGCGACACCTGAGTGGTAGATCGACCTATCTCAGCAGCCGGTTTGAAAATGCCCTATCTGAGAAAACTTTTCAAAAGAACCCTATTCCAGAATTTGATTGAAAAACGCCTTATATCAGAAAACTTTACAAGACCACCCTCTTTCAGAATTCGGTACAAAAACGCCCTATCTCACATACCAATTCAAAACGCCCTATCTCAAATATTTTCAGTACATTTTCAGTTGAGGTATCGATATGTTTATTTGATTATTAGTAACATTAGTAGAAATACGATTACTTAGACAAAATATTAAACCTTTGAAAGGTTCCCACAAAACGTTACGGCTACAAAGCATTGCTTGCACTTTGTAAAAATATATCCCCACTTTAGATTTTGGCGGTGCCATTGCTTAAAGCAATTATTTTTCATAAAAACGAAGCAATTATTTTCCATAGAAAAAATATGACCGAAAGATATGGAAATTCCTCAAATCTATTCGATACAAGTACTTTTATTTCGATACTAAGAAGGTATCGATAAAACGATTCAAGTACAAAAAGTAGTTGGTATTGAAACAAAAGTATCGAGTACATACTCGTATTTACTTATATCGGAACTTCCCTAAAGGCCGGTCCACATAGAACTTCCCAGCAAGAACAGTGACGGTCACTTTCCTAGTAACGTGACCGTCACGCGCGCCCATTAAGTTCGGCACGTTTTGCTATCACATTCTTAATAGTGAATCAAAAATGCTCCCAGAAGTTTTGTGTACGTGTGATTTTTCAAACCAAATAGTTTGCCTGCTTGGTCATATGTGAAAAGATTAGCTTGACTACTTACTCATATGCGAAAGATACCTCGCAAGAAAAAACAATAGATGGCACTCCAATCAAAAATTATTACATGTGTGTTAGTAATAGCATACAATTTGCGTTTGTGTTGGAGTTTCGGTCACGCTGGTTTTGCTGGGTTTCGCGTTGGCTTTGGCGTTGGCGTTGGCTTGACAGAACGCTTGCTACAATGAACGCTTGGCAGCGAATGCTTGGGCCACTAAATTAATATACTAACGACAGATAAATTAATATTTCATATCAATAATTGCATTAAAAACGATATTTCTTGCCCGAACTTGATTAAAAAGGGAAAATATTTCACACAATTTTATTTATTTGCAACAGCTGACGAGCAACGCACGCGAAAAGATGAGAGTTGGCCATCTTTTTGGTTTGTGTTGGCGTGAGCGTTGCCGAATTTTGGCTATGTGGACGGCTGCATTTGAATTCATGTATTCATAGTCAGCCAACGCCAAAGTTTTATGTGGACGGGCCTTAATTCCTGTTGCAAACGTTTCAGATACGGTCAAAATCGGCGCGGCACTTTTTCAAAGTAAGGAGTTGTCCTTTCTTATAAATTTACCTTCTTTTGTTTTATTAAACGGTGTGGTGCTGAAAAATGTTTGCACAAGGCTTTCATGATTTTTTGCCCGGTTTTGTTCCACCTCTTTGTACAAACATATGTCAGAGTTAATGAAATGTTGAAAAGCCTGGGCATACCTAAAGAATACCGAACCTTGAGCTAGAGCAAAAAGAAAACGTGGACGTGGTGCACCAATTTCTGCTGAGTTTAATGGTAAACTTTTTTTTGTGACAGGGGCGACGCTAGGTGGGGGCTAAACGTGGAATTTCCAACATTTTCAAAAGCTTATATTTTGAAAACTATTGAACCGATTTTCAAAATATGGACACAGTTGGAAAGGTAATATTTTGAGAAAAAGTAAAAAAACGCAATTATAACAATTTTTTTTATAAAAAGTATGTTTTTCGTAAAAAGAACGTAATTAACTATATTAACAAATATGTTTTTTGGAAAGACCATAAAAATACCTTTAATTTGGCGTATAATTTTATATAGTTAGGTTTAAGTACAACTGTCAGCAGTGCAATAAAACAACAGTATTAATGTTATATGTTCTCTACAAAAGATTTTCAGCCCTTTTTATTTAGCAACACAGAAAGAAGAATTCTACACCGAAGGCCGCCTACGCAGAAAGGAATTCTACGCAAAAATACTGTGGATAGCGTAGCTTGATTAATTATCCATTTAATTCTACAACTCAATCTTATAACAAATAAGGTGATTAAATAAAATGGTTTGTATATACAATTTCTTTAGTATTTTTTAAATTTTAATTAAATTTTTGTAAAAACTAAAGAGAGTAAGATTTTATATCGCATGATTTTTATTTCAAATTTTCGCCTGCGGCGCTTTTCATATAAAACTATATTTTTATATGTTTAGTCAAATATGATGTCCACAAGAATTTTTTGCTACAAGTCATATATCAAATTAACGGTATTTTTGTACATAAATATATATAAATCGAATGAAAGGCCCTTCAATCACCTTTTCAACATTGTCCATATTTAGAAAATCGGTTCAATAGTTTTTGAAATATAAGCTTTTGAAAATGTTGAAAACTCCACGTTAAGCCCCCCATCGCCGCCCCTGACAATTTGCACCAAAAAACAAAATATACCGTTAAAAATTTTTTATTTGGTTGTTCTAATTTTTTTATTTTTAAGTCCTTCAACACTGGTTGGGTGCATCCGACAAAAATGGAAATACAACAATGCATGTCAGCTGTTTAGCTTGCATAACCTCTATCGAAAACACAAACACAATTTTTCAGGAACATGATATCGGTAAGTTTTTTAATTTTAGTAGTAAAATTGGTAAATATTTAACACTTCTACATTCGCAGGCTGTCCGAAATTTGTTAACACAACGCGTCTCTGCTGGCCTACCTCTGTTACGCCTGACTACAGCTTTGTATAGTACTGATGTGGCAGCCACCACTGGCGAAGGACTAGCAACTATTGCACCAGCGTCTATCAATGAAATAGCTGCTGAAAAGGATAAATTATTTAGTAAACTGGAAATTGAATTACGAGGAATTGATCCGGCGGTGTTGAAAAGTTATGCGTGGTTTGCAACGACGGCAGCAAATCACTTGAACATTGAAGTGGGAAAATGGTAGGTATTTGTACATTTCTAATGTGCTATGTACGTATTTTGTATATTCATGGTGCTAGTTCATTTTTAAATTTCCAGCTGGGCTGAGCGCAAGGCACACCATGACCGCTTGACTCTTCTGAAATCGGTGCACATTTATAAGAAGCATCGCGTTCAATACGAAGTCCGCACATACTTCCGATACCTGAATTTCCACAAATTGACCGGCTCAACGTTAGACACTTTTCTAGAGTATATTGAACGTAATCTACCCGAAGGTGTTGCTTTAAATGCTACGAAAACCGAAATACAAGAAATGCCGGAACACTTGAGACAGCCACCAAGTGAAGTCCAATCATAAGTGACTTCAAAGTGTGCTTCCAAGTTTTTATTTATGCTAAAATGTTATGATTTAAGCGAATATATTAAACAACCATAACATGTAGCCACTACAACAACAACAACAACCAAACACTGTTTTCGTTAGTTAAAAATTAGTTTTGTAAAAGCCTGGACGACATTGTTTTCTTCGTATAAAAATTACCATCTATGCAGCATATGAAAGTACATTAGTGTGCGCCTTATTTATATGGAGATTTTTAATTTTTTTTTATTTATTTAAATGCATTTCAGAAAAACTCAAATGTATTTCAGAAAAGGCCAAGTGTATTTCAGAGAAGCTCTATGTATTCCAGAATAGACCCAGGGTGTGAGCATCAGTCTCTTCCACATCTAAACATTGTGTTATGTCGCTGAATATTGAGGTAAGATGGTTGGAGAAGTGTCTTATTTTCGAAACTAAATTCCAACTAAGTATTTAACCATGGTTGCGCATACTGGACATTACCATCCATTATAATTCAGAAATAAAGAGACTGATGCTTTGGCTTGATGCACGAGCACAATCGCAATAGATATATGTAGTTTCTTTCCCTTGCTTTATTATTTGATCCATGTACTTCAGTCGCCTTTCTACCGCTCTCGGTCCGTCCGTTGATTGAACGCTCTTATTAGTTTTAGCATAATTATTTACCCTAGCCCAAACATTCTCAATCGGTTGAGCATCGACGAGTATGGCCCAGGCGCAAGAGGGTGGGTGCCCACTACTTGCTCAAATCCAGCATAGCTGGTGCATTTTCGCTGAACAACAATAAATCGCAAATTACGTTGCTCCCAAACCCACCTCTTCTGAAAATCAAGCAGAAATACACTCGGAGGTTTTCCACTTGTAAGGGTTTTCCAAGTTAAAAATATTTTTCTGAAATACATTTGCCCCTTTCTGAAATACATTTGTGTTTTTCTGAAATATATTTGCCATTTTTTGAAGTACATTTGTGTTTTACTGAAAATCATTTGGCCTCTTCTGTAAAAAAATTGTGTTTTTTCTGATTTTCATTTCGCTTTTTGTGAAATACATTGCTCTTTACTGAAATACATTTGAGTTTTTCTGAAATACATTTGTGTTTTTCTGAAATACATTTGTGTTTTTCTGAAATATTGTTTGAAAAGGTGTAGATATGTACATAGGCACGTTCGGTCATAAAAACGTGCTCTGCGAAAAATTTAAAATATCTGATAACAGTCAGCCCTATTCTGCATTTCGATTACGTTCCCGCATTCCGCTCCGCTAGAATCGAACTTAGGTATTAGGTAGGAAACGTAAGAAGAAGAGGAAGACAAAACATCTTTCGAAATTAGCTGTTTGCCTAGGAATGTGTGAAATCGAAACAAAACAAGGAAATATTTGCCTCCAAACTATAGCAGCATATGAAGTTAAAGTTTGTAAATATTTTAAAATAAACTAAATATACCTAGCACCACTGTTATTTAAAAATAAAATCTAAGTGGATACATAATTATAAGAATG